TGTCTTGATGCAGGACATCTCAATTGTGGGTACTCATGAATCCAGCAATGATCGAAGTAACGACCTTCAGGTCCCGCGGCTATGCACGTTAGCATTGAATCATTGAGTCAGGATTCAGTCTGTGATGAATACAAACTTGACATATTGTTATTATTTGTGATGAAAATAAATTCGAATAATAATAGTTGTAGCGTATACGTTTGAGTCAACTCAATGCAAAAGGTTCACCATTTACTGCCAAACACACAATATCTTGACTTTAAAATTGAGAAGTTTCCACAAATCCACATATATGAGAAATATTGTGCATTATGATATAAAGAAACGCTAGGTTATAAAAGAAGGTTATTGAAATGAATGAAACAACTTCCCTGAATTGACTCAAGAGATCAACAGAAGTACTATCTCAACATTTATGCAATTTAGATAGTGGTTTCGATGTTCATGAAGGTAATACCCACGAATAAAATTCACGATTTAAAGAACGGAGGACATCTTTCAGAAGATGGTTACCTTAGCGGTAAATTTTTTTAGCTGAGGTGCGGACACTAACACTTGTCAAATATAAGATGATGCTGCACGACTGGTATGCTGAGAGTACTCTCAGCCTAATGATCGGAAGTGAACTGGTGGAATGTGTCGACCACTTCACTTACTTGGAGAGTTACATCAACCCGAGTGATCTGCTTACTGACAAAGTCTCAGTTCACGTACAGAAAGCACGTTTGGTATTTACGGAATCGGGTCATCCGTGGCGTCAGCGAGGTGTTCAGCTAACTATCAAATGACGAGTATATTTCACTGCAGTTCATTCTGTCCTGTTGTATGTCTGTCAGAAATGGCGTTAAAATGAGAAGACATGAAGCGATTACAGGTTCTTGATCACAGGTATCTTAGCAGCATTGCTCGCGTTTGGTGAAATCACAGTTTGAATAATGTTGAAGTCTGGCGGAGGATACTACACGAAACAGGAAACTCAGTCAATGAGGTTATGAATCTTAGTCGACTGAAATGGTTTAGAGGAGTACTGCCAATGTACTAACCGTTATCTTCACACTGTTTATTCCCTTATACAACTTTGTCTACTTTGATTTCAGTTTTCTTCGATCCACTTGTTCTTTCTATAACATTATAGCATGTGTTAACTTGAACCAATTCACTTGTATATGAGGTTCTAGGTTCACTTTATCTGTATGTACATCTATCTCATAACTTCTAAATGCCGTCTAAGAAGTCATAAAGAAATAAATATAGGTGCTTATGAAAGTCAGACTGCCTACTGATGACATGAATCAGCCTGATAAGAAATTTAGCTATTTTCCATTGTGCATTTATAAATGATAACTGGACGGTTATTTTCGAATTCTTGTACCATTCTAAGTCAACAGTAAATACAATAAGATTTACTTTTGTTTATACGATGGGGTGTTATACAATTCAGTTAGATATCTATCAACTGCCAGTTAATTTAAAAAGACCAAATAAGAAAGGAACTAGCATGAGTTGTACAGAGTTCGTTTAGGAGTCATTACAGATATCTCACTTTATTTCTGGGTAAAAAGCAGTCCATTCACGTTGTTTTCAGACTCCACACTCTGGAACTCTTGGAAGTAGTTTCATTTTCGTGTTAGGTTATTTGTGACATGGTTTTATAGACTTTTCAGTATATTAAAACAACAAGTAATGATAGCAGAACAGTACTGAACGAATATTTTTGGTCCCGAGATAATGAACTAATCTATCTTATATTAGCCGAGTCCATGTGAATGGTAATGATCGTCAAATTCGAACTTATTAGCCATCAAGAAGACAAGGCAAATGGTCAACAGACGAGTGATCTTATGAGTGGAATGAATATGTGATCTGAACTGAGGAAGATGCCATACAGTTTGGTGAGAATAAAAATTCCTTATTGAAAAATATATAGCTAGCTGACGTAAGACACGAACATGATGACGTTCTCATGAATGAGTCGTAATCATTAACAGGTAGGTTGGATTTCTGGCTGCCACAGATTAACAAAGAATAAGGAAGTAGATTGAATAGCTCGTTCACACAGTCTCCCCGTCTGTGTAAAACCAACCCGAGGCTATATTACCATTATAATAGTTATGCAACTGATTCCCTTGATTTATCTGAAATTAATCATGAATTACGATAAGATGCATTATGAGTTGGTGGAGCACGTGACCGGAAACTCGGTGGTGGTCGCTTGTTCGAACCCTTCTATGGTTTAGATTTTCATTTCTTCGTCAATCATCACCTACGATCAATGCAAATCTGCCGAAACATAAATACCTCAAGCAAACAAACTAATAATCAATATGATGCACCCTCCTCTAATTCAAGTACATTCTGGGTGGCATGACAAGTCCTGATTGGGCAGCCAGTATGAGTACAATCAAGCGACAGTAATACATCACCAATTCACATCGTAGTCGGCAAAAACCCATGGTGAATCAACTGAAATATGAATTGGTCAGTAGCTGCTCTATCTTGTAGCTCAGTTAGTACAACAATAGGTCCGATATTCAGTGACCGCTGTTTCGAATCCTGTCATGTCTCAGATTTTCACTTCTTCTTCAATCACCACCCAGTTGCAATAAACACTGTACATGTGAATCATGGTTGACTTCTATATCTGTCTCCTTTACGCCAGTCTACAAGTGAACCAAACCTGGAAGTTAAACCGCAATTTCGGCTAACACTGAACAATCTCACATGCGACTTATCAACACACAATATCCAGGTGAAATCCACTCAGAAAACACATACACAAATACACCACAGTTGACAGTGAGCCACACCTATTGTGTGACGGTTAATCCTACTATCTGGCTGAATTAAACCACGGTAGATGGAGCACGGAGCACTGGTTCACTGGTTCAATATTGGTTACGCCACCTAAACAACTGAAAATCCATCCAAATCTGGTTGTTACAGTTACGTAGTTTACAAAGTGAATATTTTACTCCAATCAATGACCAAAGTCATTATCACCATTAATTATCATTACTATTAATATTGTTGTTGTTGGTAAAAAATATTCACACAACACACATTCGACCCCCTAACAATAATGATAAATCGTGTCTTAAAATGGTGAATCTCAGTGGTATCAACCACCTCAAAGAAGTAATCAGAATGATGTGTGAATAGGAGCCATCATTTCAATAATTCAACAAGTTAACATTTAACAGTTTTTCAAACACACGGTACACCAGCGGCCTACATTATTTACTCGACAAGGAGCAATAATCATCAATTAGCACAAGAATCAAGTAATAAGCAAAACGCCTAATTTCTATATAACAAATAACAAATTATACACCCTCATATGTACGATGATTTCTGCCTAAATCAACTCTCACCACTCACTCAACAAGACTTTACAAAGATGAAAGTTAGTCATCATCATCACTAACACCATTTTTCTTTATGAGAAACTAATATTACAGATAACTAGTATCAATAAACAACACCTGATACCCGTTGCACAAGAAGTAGTTGTCGTGTCCAGTGGGAATCATATCACTCACTCGGCTCCAGAGATATCAAGATGACTGGTTCCAAATACGACAAAGTGCACATCATTGATTCCACTGCTAGCCACCATCAAATCAATTACAACATAATGTCTAGTGATGTATCTATGGTTTCCATGCATATGTGGTAGGGCAAAACTGCCAATATATATGCTGTAGCTTTTATCTAAGCATACCTATTTAAGTAGTACATATACCTAGTTAAAATGTGTGTGTGTGTGTGAATATTGTCATGATAGTATGCACAAGTGAGAGAATAACTTTGACTCATATTACTATGCATAGAATTGGATTATTATCATCGTTATTATTATTATTATTAGTAGTAGTAGTAGCATTGCATGCCATCCCACACATTTGTTGGTTGACCTACTCCACTCACCTGTTATTTATCAATAACAGCATATACGTGACAGACATATTTATACCAAGTATTCACTGAAAAAAAGTAGATCTCATTAACATTTTTCTACAGATGAAATATCATCTGGTCACCAAATGAGTCCACATACCCATAACATAATAACAATAATATCTTTATCACTATTGGGGTACACTAAATGGCTAGACTTGTATGACCTAATGTTGCTTGTTAAATGTTTATGTACTACGTTGTATGGTGTACATGCTTTATTATGCCTGACGATATTATCTGACTGATAAGACAAATCTTGATTAGCCTGAGACGATGATTGAAGTCACTGGGGTTCAACTTCTTTCTGATTGGGTGGACAGAGTGTAAGCTAACTGCTGACTTGGGTTGTCGAAATACAACAAGATCAGCAGCTGGAAGATATCGAAGGTACACGTCGAGAACAATCTCAGTTACACAGATTATTCCACTCTCCATTATCTTAACCACATACTGAAAATCACACTGACTTGTTCTGTCATCTACTATAACCCTCTTATTGACTTTCATGTTCTGAGTTTTATTGAACTTCCTTTTCTAGTGGAGTGTGTGGAAATGCGACAACTTTACCGGATGTATCAGTTTGGAAGTTGAAGAACAGTTCCCCTATGTTTAAAGTTGCACTACATGCGATAGACCATCTGGATCCCTGAAAAGATTTCTACCTGATTAGTTTTAGTTCAGGTATGCAGTTATGCTGTTTTTTTACAAGGTATTATCACTGCAATCAGTGTGGATTAATTGATCATTGCTTATTGCAAACAAGTGGTCAAATTTCACTGAAAACCAGCCTAGGTGACATGGAGTAAAGTGAATGATAGGAATAAACTAGTTAAATAACTATCCCAGAATTTGCGAATTGCCTGTCTTGAAAATGAGAGGTGAATCGGTCAGTGGTAGGCTATAATACGGTATACAGTGGATAAGATAAGGGAGATAGAGATATCAGACACGTTTGCTGGTCTAGTAGATTAAGTAAAGCCAGGTTGCAGTCTTTCAAAGTAAACAACGTCTTAAGTCTGATTTACATACCTTCCGTTAATTCATTTCAACCGGTTATTATCTTGAAATTGGAAGTAGGGAGAAAGTTGGACGTTTGTTATTCGATTAATAGAAGTAGTAGTGGTAGTATTAGTATTAGTATTAGTATTAGTATTAGTATTAGTAGTAGTAGTAGTAGTAGTAGTAGTAGTAGTAGTAGTAGTAGTAGTAGTAGTAGTAGTAGTAGTAGTGGTAGTAGTAGTAGTAGTAGTAGTAGTAGTAGTAGTAGTAGTAGTAGTAGTAGTAGTAGTAGTAGCTGTAGAGTCAGTAGTAGTAATGTGAGTAGTAGTGGTACTGGTAATAGCAGTATTTGTTATTGAGAATGCAAACATGCTAAAACATGAGCACTAAATAATGCACCATATAAGGTACAAAAACAACATGAACGGGGCAGAAAAATGGGTGGTTAGAGTAGTGTTCTCAAAAACACCTACAAGGAAGGAATCATGACTTTCGTTTTACCCGTCATTTAACAGGAGGAACAAGAAACCTGATGGACGATCGTCACTCATATTGGTTCTGAGCCATATCTGCCATCCTCTCAGGTCACACTGAGTTGCATGATCTTTTGAATCCCATCCAAGGAGTTGTAAGACACCTACACATGCTAACCAATCACGACTATCTCTCATCCCACAGTGCCAAGTCACATACTGGTCACTTCTCTGCTTCTTCCAACCACTCTAAACGTAAATGAATGGTGAGCGGTATGGACGCTAGTGGAATATGATATGTATACTGCGTCTTCTTTATCCATCGTTGTCTCTTGAAAAAGCCGTCGAGATCATTTTTCAGTATATGGATGATTAAACCTTATTGGTTGGCTGGAGGTGATCGGCAGGAAACCCTGCTTGACTAGAGTTTCGTGTTCGTTGGCACTCGTCAGCAAGACATATCTTCAGCATTGAGGGAATTGATGTTCCGTCCGAGACTCGTATCTGCGCCATGTAGTGATTGATCAGCAACTGGAGAGTAACCAGTTTCATGTTGTCTGATCATGAGTGCTGACCGAATTTAATGTGACCATCAGCATAACAGTGAATCTCACTCTATTGACCAATCATTCAATAAACATTTGTGTGTATGTGTGAGACCGGAATAACTAAGTAGGGCTCATTAGCGTAATACCGTATCGTGTGGTCGACTACTGAAATCAAGTAAAAATAAGTGAAGCATCCAAAAACGTTTGAAACGCGATGATCGCTTGTTCGAATCCCGCCGTGGTCTAAATTTCCATTTCACCATCAATCATCACCCAGCATAAATACTAGTCTGCCAAACTACGGCTACCTCAGATAGTCAGATGATAAACAGACGAAAACCTCGCTTCTACATTACCCTCAAACATCAATTTCTCTAATGTAGTTTCACAGAAGAAGTAAGGAACTGACTTACTTTTACTATGCTTAATAACCTTTGGAAATTTTTGTTAGCATTTTTCAACTCCAATTACTATCGCTTGTTATCTTCCCCTTTTGACCTGAATATCAATATTTACTTGGTTCTTATTACCTTCAAATTTACTCCCTTCCATCAACCACTTATCATTTTGACCCTGATAACGTCTTACATGAATATATAGTAAAATCAACTCAATCTCGCTTCGCCTACTGTTCTAACATCTGAGAAATTCTCCACTCTTCGTTGTAAAAGTGAAGAGTATAGCAGCCAAGAAATTACAAGTATTAAGAAACAACAAATGATACCCATTGCACAAGAGGTGGATGGTATGCTTTAATGGTCCAGTGGATAACGCCTTGGTGTATGAAGTGATGGGCACTTGACTTGAGTCTCAGTAGGAACAGCATCACTCATTGGGGTGCAGGTACATCCAACTGATGAATCGTAAACAGATCAAAAGGTGTGTCCTAGATTCCACTTCTATTCACCAAAATGAATATGATTCTGCGTGTTCATAGTAGAACAGCAGTATGTTGAATTAATCTGACACATAAAGGGGTTTTATGTGTTTTGCTTGATTAAAATTTATTTATTCTAAGTCTTAGAAGGTTGTATGCAGCTAAAGAGGACCTAATGAGTCAAATGATGTTGCGTAATTGCTCACGAGACGGTTTCCGACCGCGTTTTTCTAAGGATTAGAATTATCTTCTCCTTTGTTCATGATACGATTCTTTACCCCTTTTGGTTTGTCCCACTTTCCTTGGTCTCTCTCCAGCTTTCCATCATCATCAAAAAAGTAGGTTATTCTACTTTATATAGATGAGACATTTGTCTTCACGCAGTTTACAGCTACGGGGGAGCAATGAAGAGAGAATGAGTTTATTAATTCGTCGAGTCTTGAAAAATAATCATATGAACGTGTTGCTTTTTACGTATGAAGTGGTAAGTTTCCTGTAACTATCAGCAAGTTCTATGACTAAGGTTATGTAGTAGGCTTAAATGTGGCGACTGCACTGGAGTATATGTAGACTATTCATGTCCGTACCATTCTGTATTGCTTTACAGCCATTTAAACTATATTTCTCTTCCTGAAAGACATATCTGTATGAATATGTAGGTTTGTCAGCATAAGATAGGTGTGGTTTCACAGACTCATATTATTGATACTGACTAGGGTGATGAATGAAGGTGAAGTTATGAAAACTCTGGATAACGGAAGGATCTGAACAAACAGTAGAGCACTAAAAATTCGAATGGCGATCGGGCCAAATCCTTGATAATTGAAACAGTCAAAATGATCATCAATATGATGCCCCCTCTCTTTAATTCAGCTCGATTTAGAATATAATGAGAAGTCCTGAGTGAGCAGCCAATGTGGGTACGATTAAGCGATAGTAATGCGTCACAAATTCACATGGCAATCTTGCAAAAGCCTCGCTCATTGAAGTGAAATATAAAACTGGCCAGCAGACGAGTCGGGTAGCTCAGTTGACAGAGCACCTAACCAGTATCTTGGAGGTCGCTGGTCCGAACCCTGCTGTGGCCCAGATTTTCTTTTCACCTTCACTCATCATCCATTATATTATTGTATATATAGGTTTGCCTGTAAACGATAGTCAGTGGTAACCATTATACATTTTCACGTTCAGCTTTCATCAAAACAAACGATTGATATAGGAACAACAAAAAAAGCTCAAAAGAGACACAAAGATGGATTATTGACCAGGATTTCCATCTAAAACGAGTGAAAAGTATTCATCCAAGGAACACAACTGTCAAACAGATGCATCGGGTTAAGTAGTAAATTTATAAGAAAGCAAATAACATTAACTTCGCTTAATTATACCATTCCTTTCGCACCATTTTTTAAAGTATGAATCCCGCTGGGAATAACATCACTCACTGGGAAGCAGGTACATCCAGCTGACTAGTGAGTCCCAAATAGGATGAAATGCACATCTTGGATTCCACTGCTAGCCGCTATCCATCATTAGTATGAACACTGCTGCAAATCCTAATAAGAGTTATGCTCCGATATATATGTGTGTGAGTGTGACCTGAAATGGCACTCAAAACTGACTGAAGAATAAAAGTCATGTTTGTGTAAAAAGAAACAATGACGGCGTTTATTCATTTAACAGTATACAAGTGACATGAATAATAATAGCACCATACAGTTGGCGGTTATGAAGAATAACTAACATTATTTGTAAAATTATGTACTAGAGAAAGACTTTAAAATGCTGCCGGATATTACTTTTTGATAATAATGAAGAACATTTGTAGCTCAGGTGGATCGTCTTCATACTGAAGTTAGTGCTGATGATGTCGTCTAGCAAGGCGATGAAAGCTTCACGATTAAACAACCCAGCTCAGAGAACACAATACAACCAAGACTTTTTGATAAGGAAATAATAATTTGACTTCCAGTAGTCATTTTATTCTACTGTTGGTCATTAACTTGATGAATCCAATCTGCAAATTTGTCCACTGATACTGAGACGTGAGATAGAAGACAGATAAGTTGACGTTCGAAAAAATCATTAAGAAGCCAGTTATTTCATGAATGTAAGAGTAGAACTTGGACACTGTGGTAGAATGTAATTCCATACTAGATTGTGGATTAGTATAATTTACTGGACGATGTTTTGAGCAGTATTCATTGGACACATTCATATTAAAGTGATCATATGACTTTCAAACTTCCTTAAACGAGTCCAACAGAGAGAAACTGTTTTATGAACGTTAATGGTTACCCTGTTAAGCCACAAGCTGACTTTAGAAACGCGCCAACATGTGAGTTATTTAAATATTTAACTATAATACTGTGTCCTATTAGAAATCGGTTAAAATCTAGACTCACCAATTGATTTGAATTGAAACAAGTAGTTGGTGATATACAATTAGAGCAGGGAGAAAAGATGGTCAGTTTCGATATAAGGAGCCTTCATACAAATATACGATTTAATTTGGCTCTTGAGACCGTGAGAAATCAACTCACAACTGACCATGAACTCAGCAGTGGAACAAAAGTTCTTACTTAAGAAATTATGCTAGGTATATAATTGTGTCTAACTTTCACAGTTTTTGAATTTCATGACACAATGTATCAACAAACAGAAGGAGTAGCCATGACATGTCCAATATCCTTGATTGCTGCAGACATATTTATGGACAGTTGGGAACAGACTGGATTAGAAGTATTCCAATCCACCCCAAAAGTATGTTGATGATAGCTAGATGACATATTTATTGTTGTGAAATCAAAAAATATCTAAGGTCTTTTCGTACATATTAACTCCATAGTAGATGCAATCGAATCCATAAATGAATTAGAAAATGAAGAAAGAGAATCACCTTTGTTGTACTAAAAAATCAAGAGGGGAGATAATGGAAGCTTAGATACCAGCGTTCAAACGAAACCAATACATTCGAATAGATACTTGGATTTCATATCATTTCACAATATATCCATCAATAAAGGCCTAATGAAATGGCAAACTAATCGGGCTAGGAGTGTAACTGGTAAGTAAGAAAACTTGAATCAGGAACTGATGCGCACTGGAGATAAAATACTTCGTAACAAATACCCTCCGGAATTTATTAAAAGACTAGTTAACTGGTTCACTAGTTTACTAACCGGTCCTAATCCCGGATAAAGAGGGAAGGTTGGGCATACGGCTAGCAACCTTAACCCATAAAACCAATCCAATCGTTAAAAAAACTTCAAAGCACAGACAAAGTATTAAAAATAAAAATAAACTTACTCCTCCATGGAATCAGGGAGACGAAATGACGTCGGTTAGTGAAAGTCTTCGAGGAGCTAATTGGTCGATGCGTCCCATCTCTCTCTCTCTTTCTGGATGACAGCGAAAGTAAACATTATTATTATTACTACTATTACTAGTCCCTTGGGTCCCTAGTGGAACAT